TTACAACTCAACAATAAAAAGACAACTCAATTTTTAAATGTATATATATATATACAATGGAATATTACTCAACCATCCATTTGGTTCTTATTTATATCTTCTATTCTTTGCTAAGACTTTCTCTTCGTTAGGACTTTCTATTTTGTTTTGAGTGTATTTGTGATTGCTCATTGAAACATTTTTTATTATGGTTGTTTTTTGTTAGGTAATTCTAAGATTGCTATCATCTTCATATTGCCATCTGTTTATACTTTTTTAGTCCATTTTAGATTTTCCTGGTTCTTGGTATGATAACTGATTGTCAGTTGAAACCTGGCTATTTGGTATGTTAAGAGAGTCTAGATCTTATTTAAATCTCAGGTGGTTTTCTCAGACACCAAGGGAAGGAGGGGTGCCACCTCCTTAATGCCAGGTGGGGGTAGAAGTCCATCTAGGTTCTTTACTCTGGCTCCTTTGGTACTCAAGGGAGAATACTCCTTATTTCTACTGAGCAGGAATGGAAGTTCCAGCTCTCTATAGATCTTATAGATCTATAGATATCTTCCTGGATGGGAAGCCTCCTTACTGCTCTCTATGTGACCACCACTGACAACACATAGAGAGCGGGGTGGCCTCATTTCTCCTGGAAAGTAGTGTAAATCCTTACTTTCCTCTAGGATATCACTCTAGTAGGAAGAGAGAGGGGTATCCTATTCCTGCTGGGTGGCGATTGAAGTCCATGCTCCCATGTGGTCTCCACTGACACCATGGGAATGTGTGCATGAGAGGGTGGCTCATTACTGCCCACAGGGATAAATGTTCCAGTTCTCTACTTACTTCTCTGATAAGTAAGTGGGTGGTGAGTATTAGGATGCCTTATTCCAGCCTGGTGTATTCCAGCCTGGTAGAAGTCTAGGATCCTCACTTGTCCTTTGCTGGTGGGGTTGGGGTTGAGGGTGGGTGGGGTCAGTTTCTTCTGTGGTTCTTATTTTGTGTGATGTTTATTTTTTAAACATTTTTTGTCTTGTTAGACTGCTCCTTTCCTGGACCTTTGGCTAAACAGCAGGCTGCTATTGTTGTTTATGTCTGTTTTATTCATCGGTGTTTCTGGGTTGCTGACTTTTTCAGCTCCAAGTCTGGAATATTATGAGGCAAAAAGAAAATGTAGGAACCCACCACCATGTTGTTACTTGGGTCCTGAGGTTCCTAGCCCATCTGCCTTCTTTTCTTCACCTTTCAGTCTTATGTTTGTTTTATATATAATATTAAAGGTTTTGTATTGTATTTAGTGAGAGGAATAGATAGGGAAAAGTGCATATACTCCACCTTCCTGGAAGGAAGTCCTCATAAGAATTTGTTTTTAAGCATTAGATCTTCCGGATTCCAGATGTTCTGATTGCATAATTTGTATGCTTGTTATTTGTGTGAAAGGTGCCCTTTCATATTGGTTTATCCCTTGAAAAATTAATGACTTTTCCTGAAATAAATGAGTTACTACTTCTCAAGTGAAACATTTAAATAGATGCTATTTAAAAAAAAAACCTTTGTTTTTAAGTGGCATTTTACTTTCTAAATCAGTGTTTCTTACTCTTTTGGAGGGGTTGGGGAGGTGTCAAAAGACTTGTTTGAGAATCTGATTAAAACATTATACCTTCTGCCCCCTAATTTTGCTTACCATTTATGAGGTTCATAAATAGCATATAGAGCCTGGTAAATAATCTCTATCTTATGTATTGGTAATGTGAGTTGTGAAGTTGACAAAAGACCAAGAATGGAAAAGGAAAAAAAATGTTTAGGAAATAAAGAACTCAAGACTCTTTCTATGACAGGCTGGTAGTCCTCATAGCCAAGCTCTACAAAACTCCCATTTTTTCAGCTTAGGTAGAAAGATGACTTGTACGTGCTGGAAGGAACTTCTGTTAATTCCTGTTAATACAATTCTTAAAAGTGGTGGAGTTGCTATTCCAGTCTAGGTCTTCTTTACTTTAATACCTATATTTCTTATTTCTATCTTAAACACTCAGTGTTTTCTGTCACTTATTTATTTCCAGCTAGCTATTTGAGGAATTTCCTAATCACACAGACCATATCCCTATCTTTGGATTGTCCATAACTTGGCATGAAAAGCAACCATTATGTAAAAAAAAAGTATTGATTAGGACTGAGATTTTCTTCCTGTTGAACAAAAGATTGATGCTGGATGACTGTTGCTGAGGAAGGATTGCTAAAGAGAGTTTTTCAGTTATTTATTGCTGTGAACACACCACCCCAAAACTTAGTAGTTTGAAACCACAACTATTAATTATTTCTCAAAATTCTCTGGATTGGTAATCTGGATGGTTTTTCCGCTGGTCTTGACTGGGATCACATGATTGCCTTTTTATGATGACTTGATTGGGGCTGGAGGCCCAAGATCTCCTCCCTAATACTTTTGGCAATTGATATTAGCAATAAGCTGGGGCACCTTGGTCCTCCTTCAAGTGGCCTCTCGTCCTCCATTTGGTGAGATTGGACTTCTTTAATGTATGGTAGTCTCAATGTTCCAAGAGAGAGAAATATGAAAACTGTAAGGTCTCTGAAGGCCTTGTCCTTGAAGTCACATGGTATTACTTCTACTGCGTTCTCTGGTCAAAGCAAGTCACAGGGCCAGCCTAGATTCAAGCAGAAGGAAAATAGATTCCATCTCTTGATGGGAAGAGGGGCAAAGTCACACACTACAAAAGGGCATATGAGATGGGAGGAATTGTGGTCATTCCTGCAAACAATCTACCACAGGGGACAAGGAAGTATAATGTTGATGAAGTAGAGGAGGTGATTTGTGCAGAAGGTTAGTGAGTGGTAGGGTGAGCTACTGACATGAGGCCATGTGTCCTGGAACAAACTCAAGCTATGAACAGCAGCCAAAGAAAAGAGTGTGAAGCATTTGGCAGGCAGACTTTCTGTGATGACTAGCTCTGGGGACTACTCGTTTTGACTTGGCCAGTGGACAGAACTTGGCTTTTTTCCCTAGAGTTTTATCCCTTTTGTAAGCAAAGGCTGAAGTCAACAGGCTATAGTTCAATTTGGATACATAATTAGCCTGGGACAAAAAAAATTTTTTTCCCATGCTAAGCACCTCATGGACTTAAAAAATTCAAATATGAAATGAAGCTGTCTGCAAAACACCTATTATGCAAACATTTTGGCTGCTAAAATAGTGTTGTAAGTAATAAAGAAATGAAGACTATGGGGTTTTTCAGAATTTTTGGTGCTTATAACCTAATGGATTAGTAGCGTTAGTTTAGTAAACCAGCTTTAAAGAGGATATGTGGATATTTCTTGATAAGGCTGATGCCATATCATTCAGTACTGCACCAGTTGGATATCTCAGGTGAGATGTGCATGTCAGGCATTCACTTATGGAACATGAGCCGTGAGTAGACATGTGACTGTGCCTATGAGATCGAGTGTGTGCTGAATCAGCTATAGCCAGGAGAGATTAATCACATGCCTGCATTCCAATACTCACTGTGTATCCAGTCCTGTCTTATAGAATGCCAGCTTTTCAAGTTTCACCATTTGGGATCTCTGAGCTCTAAATATACAACCTTACTCTAACATGGTAGTAAGGAACAACCTAATATGACTAAAACATGGCAGTGATTACTGAGAGAGATCTTTAAAAGCTACCATATTGTTCTATATGTATTTCATTCCTTTAATTGAAATATTCAGAGAGTGTTGGCAATAGAGAAGGCACTCTCATGGAAGATAATCAAAGATAGTGTGTGAGGCTGATCTTACACATGTATAAAATAGCAAAGTGATCTGAAGGATTTTAAGAAAGGAATAAACCCAGAAGAATATCCTTTCTGGATCATTTCTCATATCTGAAATTTTACCACTAGAGCAATTCTTTCTCCCTCTCCTCCTTTTGTTTCTAACAGTTTCCTATAGACTTTCTCTATTAAAGGGCAAATACTCTGGTATGTTGCTATATAAGGCTTCATGAGATAGTGGACATCATATAAACCTTGATTTCTGACTGTCCTTACTAATGGAAAAGTTACTAAACTTCTGTTAGACTCATTGGGTTTTGTGGGGATTCAACTTTATTATATATATGTTTATACATACATATATACCTACACATACATATACATATACTTACATATATACACATATGAAATTAATGGCCGTACCTGTACCTGTATATATATAAACCCTCATCTATCTATCCTAAAAAATAATGGATGTTCAATAAACAGTAATTTCCTGCTTTTCTTAAAATAGCAAACTAGCAAAATACCTAGGTAGTATTTTCTTTCATTGCTCTTTCTTGACATTAAGGCAGAAGTTCATAACTTGGGGTCTATGGGGAGAAAAGGGGGTTCTGTGAACTTGAATGAGGAACAATTTTGTCTTTATCTTCATTAACCTTTAACTGAAATTTTACATTTCCTTCAATTAAAAATGTAAGCTACAAACCACAGCAATAATGGCAATACCAATATGAGACTGTCAACAATAGGAGTAACAATATTTTCATGTCACATTATAAAATTTACAGAAAGTTTGAAACATGATTTATATTCATGATTACTTTGAATTGATAGTTATTAGACTGCTACTAGATCTTGTTATTGAATGCATCAATAAAGATGCACACATAGATTCAGCAGTGGCCACTGAACAGACCGGACTTCACTTGCACATGCACCTCGCTCCACTTCCTCTGCAACCATGTCTGACAAACCTGATATGGCTGAGATTGAGAAATTCGATAAGTCAAAATTGAAGAAGACAGAAACGCAAGAGAAAAATCCACTGCCTTCAAAAGAAACGATTGAACAGGAGAAGCAAGCAGGCGAATCATAATCAGGCGTGCGCTGCCAATATGCACTGTGCGTTCCACAAGCATTGCCTTCTTATTTTACTTCTTTTAGCTGTTTAACTTTGTAGATGCAAAGTGGTTGGATCAAATTTAAATGACTGTGCTGCCCCTTTTCACATCAAAGAATCGAGAACTACTGACAATTTAGAGGCGCCTGCCTCTCCCATCTGCCTGTCTGGCTGGCAGGGAAGGAAAAGAACATGCATGTTGGTGAAGGAAGAAGCTGGGTGGGACGACAGTGAAATCGAGAGTGAAAACCAAGCTGGTCCGGGGTGTCCTGCAGGCTGTAAAATGCAGTTTAATCAGAGTGCCATTTTTTTTTGTTCAAATGATTTTAATTGTTGGAATGCACAGTTTTTTTAATATGCAATAAAAAGTACTAAAACCTGGAAAAAAGAAGATGCATACATATTACTGTTTCACAAATTTAGTGATTTGATAAGTGTATTTCATTATAATTGGTTTTATTTTTAACTTTATGCATTTTATTTTATGGATTTAGAAGCATTATTCTAAGAAGAGATCCATATGCAGTAAAAGAAAAAAGTTATTTGTACTTATTCAATAGTGATAAGTACAAAATAGTGATTTGTACTTATTCAATAGTGAATCATTCAAATATGATTCAATACTTATTCAAATAGTGTTGTATCAACTTCTTTTGTAAGATTTAGTCATGTGATCACTTACACTCAGGGTTTTTAATCATTAGGTTCTGGACATGACTTTTTCAGTAATTTACCATTTTATTCAAAAAACTTCACCACAGTGATTAAGTTTATTATTGAACAGCTAAAATTTTTGTGTATAGATGACATTAAACTATAGCATATCTATACAATAGAATACAAACTAGTATAAAAAGGAATGAAGAATAGTTATATATACTACTGTGGAATAACCTTCAGGATATACTGTTAATTTAAAAAATGAAAAAGAAGGGGCACCTGGGTGGCTCAGTCATTAAGCGTCTGCCTTTGGCTCAGGTCATGGTCCCAGGGTTCTGGGATTGAGCCCCGCATTGGGCTCCCTGCTCCGCAGGAAGCCTGTTTCTCCCTTTCCCACTCCCCCTGCTTGTATTTCCTCTCTTACTGTGTCTCTCTCTGTCAAATAAATAAATAAAATCTTTAAAAAAATAAAAAAGAAAAGACAAATGTGTATAGTATTCCCTTTTATCTAAGAAAGAGGTATATAAATAAATGTATAATAAAAATATATTCTAGCTACCTTACTTTTATAAAAATGACCTAAATGAAATGAGATATCCTCGATTAGGTCCTGGAACAGAAAGAGGATGTTAATGGAAAAACTAGTGAAAATGAGTAAAAGTCTGTAATTTAGTTGTTAGTGTTGTGCCAGTTGTTAATTTCTCATTTTTGACAAATGCATGATGGTTATGTGAGATGTCAACATTGGGGAAAGCTCGATGAAGGGCATATAGACCTCTCTCTGCTATCTTTGCAACTTTTCTGAAAACTGAAAATTATTTGAAAATAAAGTTTAAGAAAAGAATAAAGAAAAATGGAAGGATAAACCAGAAATTAATAAAAATGTTTAGTGGGAAGGAAGGAAGAGATTAGAGACAGTAGGGATAGAAACTAGAAACCTCCGAATGTACATAGTTTCATAGATCGAACTCAGCCTAACCACTGAAATGTTTTATGTAATTATAAGACAGAATTAAAGAAAAAAGTCCCTAAAATCACAAGTAAAATGAAACATAATGTACCTACTTTTGCATTGCTGGCTTAGTCACATTGAGAGGAATTGATTTCAAGTAATTTTAAAACAATAATTTGACTATGCACTGCTAGTGGGATATATCCTATGGCCAAAACAAAGTGCAAAAAAAAATTTAAACTGCCTTTAGTAATCATATTGTAATAATAATATTAATACTGTTATTTTTTAAAAGATTTTATTTATTTGAGAGAGAGAGAGAGCAAAAGTGGAGGGGGCAGAGGGAGAAGGAGATTCCCCGCTTAGCAGGGAGCCTGACCCAGGGCTCAATCCCAGGATCCCAGGATCATGACCTGAGCCTAAGGCAGATGCTTAACTGACTGAGCCACCCAGGTGCCCAACTACTGTTATTTTGAACCAATCTTTATATATGTGTGTGTATGTGTGTATAATATATAGTAAGATAACACTAATAAATATGTTAATGTCATTACTAAATCAGTATTTTTAGTATAAGATAAAGAGATAAAAACATAAAATCGAGGAAGTAAAAAAGCTCTGTAGTTATATATTTGATTGGAAATACTGGTTTGAATTTTTTTTAAGAAGAATACTGGTTTGAATTTATGATGACTTTCTCATAAAAATGATCAGTGATAACATGATATCCTAATTTATTGGTAACTAAAAACAGCAAATTAGATGGTGGTAAAAAGGAAGGTCTGCTCTTTATAGCCACTGTCAAATGAGAGGAAAAGGTATTTGGAGTAATGAGTACAGGAGGAAATCATACTTCATACTTCATCATTGAGGATGTTACAGTAAAATGAATGATATTTGTAATCATGATTTGAATCAAGAAAAGCTCCATTTATGACCATGTCCTCTGTTGGAGAGCAGTCAAATGTTTTACTATATTAGAAAATAAATAGAACATGTTTTAGCATTAAGTATCAGGTGTATCAAAATTTATGTGGCTTTCTTTCTTCCCAGATGATCCTGAAAAATGAGGAGTGATTATTTTGGAAACACTTCCAAATGTGAGCTAATGTCTCCTGTTGATTTGCACCAGGTGATTACTTAAAGCATCTTGGTAGGAATAACAAGTGTCTGGTCTGAGTCTATAATTATGAAAGGAATTGGCTGATAAGTAGTTATGTGAATCCATGTGCCTCTCAGAATGTAAGTGCTGCTGAATAGGTCATTGCAAGATGATCAGGGCTGTCTAAATATACAGTTAATCTCCAAATGAATTTGGAGTATCTTTTCCTTTCCCCATAGTACTTTGCACATGAGACATCACTGTGCTGACTTAAAATTTTTTCAACCTAACTCCCTTTCCTTATTTATCTCTTCATGTCTTAAAAATTACTAGCATTATAATTTGCTTTACATTTTAAACTTATGATTTATTGAGTCACTAATTTCGGCTATCAATGGCCTAGAATAGTGTTAGTTGAACTTTTCCTTAGGTGAGGTAGTCAGGCATTAATAGCTTTCTTTTTTGGTAGAACAGTGTAATTTCTTTAACTACATTTTTCTGTTTTCTGGAACTAAAAGCAGAGAAATATACTGAAATAATCACATTATAAGGAGAACAGGTGCTCTTATTCTTCAATAAATCAATACATTGTATAAAATATATTAATTCATTCTCTCCTAAATATTTATATATTAAGCCCTATGCTAGATACTGTAATAGATAGAGGTGGATTATATAGAGAGAGTGCCCCTCATCACATTCTTGCTATTACTGCCATTCTTTCATACTGTCTAAAATTCATTACATAGGGGCATCTGGGTGGCTCATTCAGTTAAGCATCTGCCTTGGGCTCAGATCATAATGCCAGGGTCCTGGGATCAAGTCCCACATCAGGCCCTTTGCTCAGCAGGGAGCCAGCTTCTCCCTCTGCCTCTGCTTTCTCCTCCCCCCCCCCCCCCCCCCCCCCCCCGCCTTCTCACTCTCTCAAATAAATAAATGAAAATCTTAAAAAAAAAATTCCTTACATAGTTATGTAAACTTTCTCAATTGCTATTCATGTATTTTAACAAGCTTTTAAGATGCATAGATACTTGGAGTTGTTAGAGGACTGTCATTTTAGTGTTAGTAAAATCAGAGTCCTTTCCTTTTAACACCTTGCTGAAGAAAACTTCATTGAGAGAATAAACTTTTTTTTTTAATGGGGCTCAGAGGAGAAATAGTTGATTAATTTGGCACATTAGATATGAGTAGTGGGGACATTTGGACAGCTAGAAGACAAATAAGGTCAGAGGGGAGTACCTAAGGAATCTTGAGTAAGGGGGAGAAAGAAGTAAGAAAAGGAAGATCCATTTCTAAGGACAAACTGCTTTTGTAATGGCACCGTGGACTGGACTGACATTGTATTCTACCTCAGTCATTTCTCTTGGTGTCTCATTCCTTACTCCATCCTCTCTCCCATCTTTCCTCTTGACCTCTTTTGTTGAGGCTGTTTTTTGTTTGTTTTTGAGGACATATTGATCAGATTATTCTCACCCATTTCCATATCAACAAATCTGCCAGAATGATATTTTAAAAACATATGCCAAGTAATATCACTTTCTTGCTTAAAATATTCCAATGGCTTCCCAGTGCACTTAGAATAAAAGTCTAACTCTATACCTCAGCCTACAAAAGTCTACTTGATCTGGCCCAAGCTTTTTCTATGACCTCATTTCCCACTCTTCTGTCCTTATGCTTCAGCCACATTTCTCGATGACTTGGATATACTGAGTATATTTCTGGTTGAAGCCTTTTGAACTTGATATTGGGCCTCTATGTCTGTTGACTTTTCCTAGACCTTTGTATCTCACCCACCCCCATGTCACTCTCTAAATGGAAATACCTTATTTTTTGTTTACTTGTTTTGTTTCTCCTGTCCCACTAGAATATTAACTCCATGAGGGTAGAGACTTGCTCTGTGGTATTCTCCAGTATTTTTCACTGTTCATTAAAGATGTGTTGAATCAATAAACGGAGCAAATTTCATTTTGTTTTATGTTTTTTATTTTAGGGGACCACTTTCTGTAAATAGTGTCACATTTTCATTGAATTTTCTCTTACATAAAAGCCCAAAGCCTCAAAATAATATATCAATATATGCATAAACTGAAAAAAAAAACCTTTGCTTTATATTTAAGTCCCTTTAATTTGGGGGAAGTTGAGATGATAAGAGAGCACATAACTAGCTCTCTTTTTCTTATAGTTCATATTTATGCTGAAAAGCAGAACACATAGTCTTAAGTTCATGGGATGTGTTCTCCAGTGGTTGGTCAGTGGTAGCCAGGGAATGTCCTCTCTTATTGAATGACAAAATGAGCAAGATGAATGTCAAACCAACACTATTGCTATTTATCATACGTTATTTTATCCTTATTATGCCAACATCCTTCTCATTCTCATGTCCTCCGACTAGTTTGGAAGCTCTTTAAGGATGGAAATTCGGTCATGTATCTCTGTTTCCCAGTAGTGTCTAGCATAGTGCTAGAGGCATAGTAAATAATCAGTAATCATTTTTGGTCAAATAATAATAATGAAAATGACTTCAGTTTTATATAGATTTTAGCAGACTAGCAAGAAGTAACACATCTTTTCCTACAAAAACCCAGTGATGTAGAAAAACAAATATTTTCTTCCTTTCACAGTTTGAAAGACTGAGATTGCAGAGTTTACCAGAATAGCCTAAATTCA